AAAGGCAGCAGCAGCTGATTAAACTACTTCCTTTGAAACTAAATTTCTACATAAAGTTACAAAGAACGATATAACTACCAATATGGCTAAGTACAGGGTTTCCTTCCAACACAAGTAAATTAAAAATGTTTTAACATTACTCTCACAATTGAATTTGGAAATTAGGAATTTAACAAATGGAAAAATATCAGTTATACACTTAGCAGTCTACTAAATAGAGTATGGGAAAGTTGTTTTCACTTTCTTAATAGAAGATTGAATTTGTGCCTCAACATTACATTAAAGTCAGCTTGTCTTCAAGAGTCAACCTATGACGTGTTCCAGCAAATAAGCTGAGTAGCAGCATACATTTTAAAAACTTTCTTCAGTTATTAACAGTCATCCAGTACCAAGAGGATGACATAGCTTCTGTTTGTTGAAATACACTTTGTTTTATTCTTAACATTATCCTTACCTGCACGTAACTTCCTCAGGTATCTTTGTTTCTGTTTCTGCCACTGAAACATTCACTTTTTCATGGTAATGGTGTCCATCTCATCTTTAATCATGCACATTTCTCCATAGCCTCAGGCTGTCCACTTATAACTATCTTCCTTGTGAAAGTTGGCCATTTTGAGTTTTATTTAGCAGTTGGCTATATTTGTGTACTTGGACATACCGTACAGTATGTTAAATGAGTGTTTCAGAGCATTTGAGCTGAAGGAGACTTCCTCTGTTTCTAAAACATTATTACTGGCTGTGCTTCTGTAATGTTTGGCATCGATAGCTGCTTTTTTAAGACATTCATTAAAAAAAAATTAACAGGATGAGAGACAGCTGCAGGTACTGGCAGTCTGCAAAATGCATAATTACTAAGAGTAACTGAAGCATATTATAGTATAATTCAACTGAAAAAACATCTGTCACATGCTATATTTGTCATACGAGAGTTTTGTAGAAAGTACTTACTACAGCTGGCAGATTTATCACCCATCTGCCAAAAAACTAACAGCTCACCTTTGGTTCCTACTTATTTAACAAAGACAATATGGAGTAGACATTTATTTGATCAACCTTGTTTAAAAAAAATCTCTCAGTCTTATTGAAGTCTCAAAAAAAAAAATTTAACAGTCCTCATGGATCAATTATTGATGCCAAGAACTGTTTTGTCTTCCTTGTGGATTATAAGACAAAATTGTTTCCTCTTAAACATACAGCCAGTGTAATATAAATAAAGCTTCATAGTATAAAGTTGAAAATGATTGCATCCATGCTGGTCTAGCCTATTGAGAATGTCAATTCATCACCTGCTTACCTAAGCAAAAAATGCATAAATACATTTTAAATACCAAATATAGTACTGAAAAATATTCTTTGTTTGGCCCCTTAAATGATATTAAAGAGAAGTTCTCCTTCAGGTGACTGTGCTCACTGTTGGTGTTCATGTGCTTCTGGTAGTCAAGTTTACAGAGTTTTTCCTTGGCTGTATCTGTTGAGTGCTCTATATACCTTCCCCTCCTTTTGCCCTATGCCAAGGGGATAAAGAACAGTTCACACTTCCTAATCATCAGTTTCTCTCAACTACCTTGAGCTTACAGTTTACGAATTTGTTTGTAGATACCTGCCAACTTTTTTTTCCCGCAAGTATTATGGGGGAGAAGAGGGGCGGGGGGTAGAGGCATTGAATTCTTCTGCAGGGCCAGATAACATGGCCCTGCACACCAGATCTGGCTGACACAGGACCCGATCAGGCAGTGTGTAGGTCAGATTGGAGGTGGACAGGTCCATATTGTTAGTGCCCTAAAGTGGTGGCACAGGTCCAGCCACTGTGAGGATGTGTATATGGATGACACATTTTGAACTACGGTAACTTCTCTTTCCACAATTTAATAACTTCCTTACTTTCAAAAATGTTTAATAACATGTATAATTTAATGTTACTTACATTTGAATACATAAACAACCTTTATACTGTTAGAAAATTGTCTGAACTCCGCTGCTAGTGAAGTATATCAAAACGTTGTTGTCTTGCAATGACTAGTTAGCTCATAGAACCAATATATAAATAAACCAAATCAATGATATGCAGATGGTTAAATCACTATTCACATTCTGTAGTCAGCATTCAAGAAGTAGCTGATCACTTGAGGCCCTATCTTGAAAATACTTACACTTATGTTTATTTACATCATTGACTTCTTAAGGACAACTTATTATAGTGAAGTTAATGAGGATAAGGTTTTGCAGCATCTAACCAGACCTTTAATAATCTTAATCTGCATAGTTCAATAAAGAAAAAAAATCACTCATATTAAAAAAAAACACTTATGCAAGAGGGCAGAGGGATAATTTTAACATATGTTTAAATCTGTAATGCTACATCAGCATGTATAATAGTGGTCAGTTTTAAATTGATAGGTAGTAGCATGGTATTCTTATAGTTCTGATTGAGTTTGGTCATTGAAGAACTACAAGAACAGCATGCTGCTTTAGAGATGTAAGAGGAGAATAATCTGACAAAGTAACTGCATTCCTGCTTCATTTCTTAAAACTACTGTCATCGAGCTTTAATGTACAATTATATGTGGAACTGTAACAAAGTTAAATTAGGGGAAGAAGCAAGGCAGCTGCGATAATAAAAAGATATGGATTAGTTTTCATTTCTTATTTTTTAAAAACTAGAATTTAAGTATTTGAAGAAGCTTTAAAAATTCAAGTTTTAAAAGGGGAAGGAAAGTATAAGTTGTGAGTGAATATTTTATTTTGGATGTGTTGGTCCCACAAAGGAGAGGTGATGACTAATTTAACTTTATTTCAGTTCCAGTACCCAACAATATTATTTTCACTTAGAGAATGAAGATCTCCAAGCTAATAATAGGACAAAATTGTTAAAATGATGGGGGCTTGCAAACCCTTTATCTGGCAGTGGCTTTCACATTCTAAGAATAGAAGCTGAAGCTTTCAAGTACATCTGGACTGTACATCTGGTCCATCTAAGGTAATGAGAGACTCTTAATTGAATTTAATGGAGTTTCGTTCTGGCTTTATGACAGTTTTAAAAAATGAAGCAAGAATGCTTTTACTTTGTAATATGCATTCTCTTACATTTCTACTGTTGAATGAAGTGCCCTCTTCTAACAAATTCAATTATGGTATCATCATAACCAGATTGGAAAGGTAGCTAGTTTGCTGATCTAGCCCTTGTTGACCAGATTTCTAAATTAGGATTCACAGAATGTGTGTGGAAAAGATGAGCTGGATCTGTTCACTTATTTGTCTACACCTGTGCATGCATTTTTTTTTAAAGTTAGCACCCTACCTATAAATTGAACTCCTTACAGTCATTTTCTAGAGTCTGTATTAAGTATACAAATTATTTAGTGCCTTGGTAGTGTTTTATTTTAAAGTTGTGTTTTTTCTTGGATATTTTTTCTTTGGGCTAATAGAATTTTTAACACTACATTTTACAGTCATTCTTGGCAGATGGACTTGAATGTCAGTGGAGTTGCATCTGCCTAGCACTCAGGTTATTTAGACCAGAACTTTTAAAGGTTCCAAGTTTGGTATTAGTGTCCTCTCCTTTTCCCACAATGATAATATGAATGAAGATGGAAACATTTTAGTGTTTTTATCTGGCATTTTTTAAATGCCAAATAAATGCTCAAAGGAAATAAGAGGAAAAAATAAGCTACAGGTAAGGGTTTCTCCAATTGTTACATTTCTGTTTTAAGTTATTTCATTCAACTGCAGTGTTTTTGCTTCTCCTCTCCCTCAGATCAAGTTGTTGTCAACTTCCTTTCCTCTGTCCTGTTTTTTTTCCTTCATATACAATTGATGCAAATTCCTCTATGCTAAAGTATTAACTTGGTTGTGAAGTTCTAGTTATACCTTGCTACAATACTTTCCTCTCTAAATGTTGTACTGACAAGGCTGTGCCTAGATTTTTAAAGATTAGAATGAATGTATACGTTTTACATACTTCAGATTATGCAGAGAACTAGTACCCTGAATTTGTAGTTCCCCAACATTAATGTTAGCTTAGTTGACCTAACTAAACTAATGACTTCAGTTTATTTACCTGAAAGTTTAAAATTTGCACACACGGCTTATATTTGTAGTCAATGTTATTGATTCTGTATCTGTAAAACATTGCTATTGCAGACTTATGGCAGTACCAAAGATTATTTGCCTTCAAAACAAATATGCCTTATACCTCTACTATTACACATTTATCTATATCATTTGGAAGGGAGAGTCAGAATGCATTTGGTGCGAGTGTATTGTCAACAACATTATAATTAAAAATGGACCATAAACCCTAGCAAATTTCAGAAAAGTACCTATTAAGTATTATTCAGATAGCAGATACATTACTTTACATTAATCAGCTTCTTTCTTCTGATTGATAGAAGTGAGCTACGTCAACAAAAACTTCACACTCAAGAGCTGCTTTCTCAGCTGGAAATAGCAACTGAAAAGGTAGTAGAGGTAAGATAATGGCTCTCATGGGAACTACTTTCAGCTATAACTTGATGCGCATGCAGTAGACTCTTACCAGAACCCTATCCAGATGAGTTATATTGTTACTATATAAATGCCTGTGAAGATACTTAGAATTTTTTACTGGTATAGTCTAAGATTGAAAAGTTTACCATCTTATTTTTGCTGAAAATTAATGGACAGATGCCAGGAATAGTAGTTAATGCAGCTCCCACATGATGAAACATAAGGAAGGACAGTGTAAATTGTCAGTGATTCAGAAAAAGTCACAAGACAAGGATTTTTGTGGATATCTATGTGTGCTTTTGAAAGGTGACCTGTTACATTTCTACTTTTATTCTGTACCATCTCCCCATACTACCTAACAGTGGTGGAATTTACAGTATATTTATATGCATAGATAAAGGACTCTCTCTTACATTATGCATTAAAATTTTAAAGGCAAGTTTGTTTGGGATGCATTATTAAGTAATTAACGGTCACTTGTGAAAATAGCTGTGCTTCTGTCAAACTGCCTAGTAAATCTGGGATAGTACCTAATATTCTCTGAAATTAGTCTTTTAACATCATGTTTTATTCCTTAGCACTATTTAAGACAAGGTGGAGGGGACAGATTTCTAAAACTCCTGGTAGAGAAAAATACGACCAAGGAGTTTTGGTTGCTTTGGATTTTGTGGCTTTTTTGGGGGGCAGATTTATTTTTGGTTTTGCACACTACTTTTTGGTGTAGAAAATAAAGGGAAAAACCTGCATTAAGAGGAGTCATCTTTGAAATATTCGTTGCCTTCTCTCCTCTGCTTTGCATCTAGTTATTATGTTTGCATCTCAGTGGGTGTAAGCAATTTTTGCACCCTGGAAAGTAATGCAGCGGAGGGGGCAGTACTGAGTGTCAGAGAACCAGGGCACAGATTCTCCATACATGGGCTCTTGCTGTCGCCATATTGAAGGCTCTACATTAGCACCCATGACTGGTGTCCCCACACTTGCCTGCCTCTAGTTATACTATCACATGTAAGAGTTATTGCCAGTAAAATATGCCAACTTTTTATAAGATGTCTTAACTGTAAATGTGACATTAATATAACTGGCTTTGAAATCTACTGTGTGTAAAAGAACTGTAAAATAAAAAAATGTGAGAGGCTTTCATTTTTTTTGTTTAAGCTGAAAATTCTTGACAATCTATCACAACAATCCCTCTTTCCTTATTGTAGATGTTAAATAGTTCCAATATTTAGCATTGGTTAAGCTTTTTTAGCTCAAAGCTTTCACACTGCAATATGCATCAATCTGTTAACAGAATCTTACATTTGTAATAAGGTTTTTTATTTATACAGAATGAAAAATTAATGATAGAACATCAAGAAAAAGTCAACAGGCTTCAAAGACGGCTAAGCCAAGCAGAGCAAAGGGCAGCCACTGCGTCTCAACAGGTATCTAATTCTAAGTAGACAACATCCTGATTACAATCACATATCAATGTCTTTGAATATCCCAAGAAAAAAATGTTGTCTTGGAATCTCCTCAGCTGATAGGTATTAGTTTGTTTGACATAATAAATTAGCTAATAAGCAATAAGACATTCTGATATTACAAAATGTCATTTCAAACTAGTGTATATTCAATCAAATGCCGGACTTTCTTCAAACAGTCAAGACTTGATGGAATGCATTCTTTTCAAACATACTTATGATTCAATGCTTTTTGTGTGATCTGAGCTTGGAGATAAATTTAATGGCAGCTCTGGATTCATATTTTTTCATTATACTAATGAGGGGATATGGATTTTGTTTGGCCTGCAAAGAATGATAGAAAATAAACAAAGGAAAAGAAGGTTCTATCTTTTTACTTCTGTGTAAAATAAAATCTAGGTCAAAATGTGGGACTAAAATATAAAGTTTAAACAGCCATCATCACTAATTACACAAAACAGTTGATTTCATGCCCCACAATTTGATCAAGAGAGCTGCATTCATCAGAAATGGTGTCTTTGTGGAACTGCAAATGCTTTGCTACCTCCTACAGCATGGCTTCCGTAAACTCTTGATCCAATTCATGATGTAAAACACATTTTATCTTTTCAGTTCAGTCACAATGCAACTGTAATATCAACATACCTGATACATTCTGGCCGCATCTACACAAGACTCTGACTGCGCAGTTGTTACTGCACTGTCATTTACTACTTGCATCCTCAAGTACTAAATGACTGTGCAGTAACCAGAGGTACTGCATAGTAGCATCCCCGAATGGCTTCTTGGTGATGCTGACTGCGCAGGAGCTTCGTACTGCAGCACAGTAGTTTGTTACCATATTGTGCAGTAGTAACAAGGTACTGTACAGTCAAGTGTCTCGTGTAGATCACCTTTCAGCAGATGGTATCAGACATTCTCAAAGGCCTTGTGTGTGCATACAAACCAAACCTGCCCAACACGGAACCTCCACATTCCACTCTTAAAACTTGGCTTCCTTCAAGCCTCTCAGAAAAATCCATTCCTCATTTTGCATTAAAACAGTCTGTTTGCTGTTCACCTCTGCTCATCATCTCTGCCAGAAAACGGATGCTTTAGGTGCTCACTAGGGGAAACCTCACTGTCACCAACATGTTCCAAAAGAACCAATGTTACTTACCTCCATGGAAATGT